ACATTATAAAATTGTCTAGGATATCGAACATATCTAATTTATCATATATATCGCATATATCTAATATATCACACTTATGCGATATAGGCAATATATTAGATATAGCAGATATATCAAATATATTTGACATATCTGACATTTTTGATATTCGGGATTTACAACACATGATATCGATCATGTTTTTGGATCTTACAGTATAAAATTTTAAAGCTTACAATTCTAATATATATAATTACAACAAACAAAATTTCCAAGTACTAAAATCTTGTAAATACATAATTCTGAAATACTAAAATCTTAACAAGCATAAAATTCTAAAATCCAAAATTCTAACTACTAATCTCAATATTTGTATATTTAAAATTATAATGTTTTATTATTAGAATTTAATATTATTAAAATTTAGAACTGTTAGAATTTTGTATTTTTTTTGATGTTAAGATGACCTCTTTGGTCTTTTAATTTTTATTAATAACTTTTTTAGTAATGAGATTTTATAAACCATTACAAGAAAAGTATACAATTAGATATATGTATAACTTTTCTATATTACCTATTTAAAGAGTTCATCTGAAGGTTTTTTACTAATTATTATATCTAACATTTTTGCTTAGATGTTTCATTTTAAACTTTATGAACCTGAATCTGTATTAACATTACTAGATTATGCTTAGGTTATTGTCTTAATTTTAAAACTATTTTATTTTTAAAATAACCTTTTTAAAGCCTTTTGCATCTATTTTTATAGCTAATTCAGTGTTGCTATAGCAAAACCAATACTTGCAGTTAGAGCTAGCTATTAAACTATTATATTGTTATAAAGTTTACCCATACTTAGCATCTACTTTACAGTATATTCAAATTACTTTAGTATACTTCTGCCTTTTTTCTAGACTTCTAATTCAGATAGCCTAATAGAACTACAACTAGTCTATTAGTATATTAGATTGGCCTAAAATTCTTTTTTTCAAATCTGTTCTAATGGCCTAGTTGGTAGTATCTTTACTTAAAGGTTATTATCTGTTTAGGTAATTTAACATTGTTATCTATATTCTAAAACTAACCTTTCAGTAGTGTTGTTAAAGATTTATGCTATTATTCTACTTAGATCTTTTTAAATAAACTTTATGTTTTTTAATTTTAATAGATTTATACAATTATAAAGACTTATTTAGAGTTTGCACTACTCTATACTAGTTTGCATTTTTCTGCATAATGACATACTTATATAGATGCCTTATAATTTGCTAATTATGCTAGTATAACTATTATTACAGATATCTTAACTTAATTATTAAAAACAGTAATTAACCAAATTTTTACTATCAATAGGATTTGAACACTTAAACTACCACTTGGAATATTGACAACTTATTCACTTTACTAAGTTACCAAATTCCTAATTATGTATTTTAGAATTTTAGTATTTTAAGTTTTTATTATCAGAATTATTTCAAAATTATATTATTAAAATTATTTCAAGAATTTGTTATTAAAATTATTTAAAATATTGTTATTAAAATTATATACTTTTATAATTGTAAGCATTAAAATTTTAAATAATTTTTAAATAATAAAGTCAACTATATTAATAAAAAATATTTTTTTAATTAAGTAATAAAATCAATTGCTAAGAATAGCTTAAAGTTTAAAGAACCTTTTTTAAAATTATTTCAATAATTTAATAAATAAAAGTGGCTACTTTTTTTTTGATATTTGACAACCTTGCTAATCACTTTTATTAAAATTTTTGTATATATATTTGTACAAAGTTGGCTTAAATTATGACTCAACTATAGCTACTTCTAAAATTATTTAAAAGCTGTCTGTTGTACTAAACAAAGAGCTATACCAAGCTAGTTGTTAAAGTTATATAAAAATGGTTTACTTTTTTTATAATAAAACTAATAACTAAACCTAATTATAATTCTTAAATTTCTTTTTACACTTCTTCTTTTTTCTTTTATAAATTGATATTGTTATTTAATATACTACTTTTTTTTCTCTTTTATAAATGTCTATAAGTTATACTTTTACTTGATATATTTTTATCTTATTTTTTTTTTACAAGACTAATTTTATTTGCTTTTTTCTAGTTAGTTACTATTTCACAATGTTTTTTCTATATATTTTTAAAAAAACTATTTTATGTTATGTTTATTTAAATAATTATAAACTCTTTGGCTTTTTTGAAGCTTTAAATAAAATTGTATATTATTATTTTAGCTTTTCTTGAATTATTTCTTAATAGTTTTAGATCTACATTCAGTTTTTTTTTTTAATAAATATTCTCATAAGATTTTTGTTAATTCTAATTTGCTTGTTTTTTCATAGTTTTTTTCTAAAAATACTGTTAAAATCAAATTAATAAATAAATTTTCTGTAACTGCTTATTTTTTTTGTGCCTTTTATATATTATTATGTGTTCTTGATTTTCTTTTTTACAGAATGTAATATAAACTTTTGTATAAATTTGAATATCTTTTTACTAATTTTTTTAATACTAATGGTTTTTCATTAGCATATTTAATTAGTATTGCACTTTCTTTATTTTTTTTCTACTTGTACATCTGATTTTACTTTTGACTTTTTTTTATAATAATGATTAATTATGTTCTTCTTTTTTTTTATTTAATTTTATCTTTTGAATTAATAATATTGTGATGACAAATATTGTGATACTGGATATCATGTCCAATTACGTGAAAAATACACGAAATGCAATAAGTTATATTTGTGACCAGAAATGGTATTTCGGATCCAAAAAGAAGGATGGAAGTAGAAATTACACATCCTTAAAGATATTATATAGATTAGTGTAAATAACATTTAATAGCCTTAAAGTAATAATAAGTGTAAAGTCACATTTGTGAACAACGAATTTAGTATTATAAATAAAGACTGAAATGGCTCTAAGGAATAATATATCTCGTTTGCTTTAGTAATGAACAAGTCCCAATACATTGTAATCGTCTATAATAAAACCCTAACACTATACCCAGTATAAATCCTGTAAACCCCAATAAACATTGTTGTTCGACCGAGTTCTTGTACACATGACTTATTATACTTGTATTCATTGACCCACAGTAACTGAAAGCCTTTCTCACCCACAAGCCAAATCTAACACCCTCTTTCGAAAAGATTACTTGTCGTACATTATGCGAGGTTTAGAATTTTGGAGTGATAGAGTTGCAATCTTCCAAACCCAACAATATAAATCTTTATTTTGTATTAATCTACTAATAGTAAATACTAAAATACTAGTCTTTTTTTGTTATATTATATTCTATTTTTAAAATAATTTTATAACATTAGACAAGAGACTGTCTTATATAATTGTAGTATTATAATATTTTAATATAATCATATTATAGTATTAAGTTATAATCATTAATATATATATATTTTTTTGGTATTAAGATAAGACCTTGTTTTTAGTAGTTTAAAAGTTAGCAGCTACATAAAGTTGCTATGTACAAAAAGTAATTTTCTATATAAATGCTATAGCTAAAATTAATATTTGCAGTTAGGATTAGTTCATTAAACTGCTAATTATATAACTATTGTTTAAAAAAAAAAAAAAAAACTATATTCAAAAATAAAAGCTCAAACATATTTACCTATAACTTAAATCTACTAAAGTAGACAAGACTTACCTAAATTTATAAGTTTAGAATATAATTTTAAAAAATATTATATTTGATTCAAAAGATGGTTCAAATGTTTATTTTACTGATAGTATAACTAATAAATAAACAGATATTAGAGTTAGAGTGTAGTTGGTTAGATAGTTCATATAAGCAGGAATAAGTATAACTTTTATGATTGAAGTTTCTTCTGTTGCTTTGGCTTAATTGAAGTAAAGGCCAAAAATAAGGTAGTTTAAATCTTTGTTGTTGTTTTTAATTAGCAAAATTTATGAAGTATGGTTTTTATATTTGTAAAAGAGTTTATTAATTTTAAACAAAATAGCAATTATTGATTGTAAGCCTAGTTTATATGAAATATTAAAGTTTTGTATAATATCAATTAAAGATTTAGAAATAAGTTCTTTGAGTATAATATTGAGATAATGTAAGTTTGTTTATAAAGGTGTATCATAGTAAGCATAATGGCTACTAATTTTGTAAATAACTTTTTCTTACTAATTTATAGATAAATTAAGATCTGTATTATTAATATATTCAGATATACTGTTTTAAATAATATTAAAAATAAAAAAACTCTTTTCTGTTCTCTATAATTATAGATAAAAAATACTTAATTTTATAAAAAACAATAAATTTTCAGAATTTAGTTACAAAATACATAGCAAGAGCTAAAACTATTCTACCTAAAAAATGAAAACAAGTTGGCACAATCATGTTAAATATTTCTGCAAGTAGTTTAAATAAGAAAGTCAAAAAGGCAAAAACTTCAAACATAGAAATGATTGAACTCTCTAACAATAAAGCAGACATTAAAGAAAATTTAGAATATATTAAAACTTCTTAAATTGAGATTAAAAAAGAAGATAACAAAACAAAATACAAAGATCTCAATATTCTATTCAAAGCTAAAAACACAAAGTCTGAATATATAAACATTTTTGAGACATTAGTAAAAATTTTTAAAATGTCAATAGGAAGTTATACTGATATTTTATTAAAATTTTGAAAAAAAATGTCAATATAGAATAATTTTGCTATGATGTCATTATATAAAGATGTTAGTATAACCTGGTACTCTAGCCATGATGAAATGAGATGTTAGATTATGTGACTTCTGAAGCATCCAGTCTAATATTTAAAAATTAAAGCTATTAGCAATTTTTGAAAAAACTTGTAAAATTTTATGTTATATCAGATCCTAGATTCTGTTTAGTAGGTGATCATTTAGAGTGTTAAAAATCACATGACTTGATACTTTGTTTTATCTTCTCCAGTATTGTCATCAAAATTTTTACCCCCATGTAACATATATAGTACAATCTGTTGATCGATATAAATATAATCAAAATGATCATATCAAGTCTTTGTTGTAACAAAGAAGCAAAGGTGAAGAAAGGGGTTTTTAAATTCAAGTAGAGTTACTATATAATAGATTGCTTTGAATATGTTAACTAATTTTAACTTTAAAAAAATTTTGATAAAAAAGTAAGGCAACAAGGTGAAGATTTTACAAGCACTGTACAATTCAAAAAAGAAATCAGACTTTATGGTACAGTACAAGGTTTGTTAGAATTTTGGGCTAGCTTATACTGTATTACTTGTTTTTGAAATGTTAAATGATTCTTATATTAAAAAAAAAGAAGAAACAAAAAGGAAAAAAAGGGGTGGATTAGGCAGAAAGTTTTTATATTCTTATGCTATTTTGCTTTTGAAGAGTAAAATCAAGTCTTATATCAAAAAAAAAAAAGTAGATGGACCAGAAAAGAACCTTAGATAAGTTTAGATTAGTTTATAGTTAGCTCATATCTATATTATTTCAAATTTTCTACTAAAAAAAAAAAAAGAAAGCAGACTTGGCATTTGCTTTGATCGATTCTTATATTAAGAAAAAAAAAAAAGAAAATAAACAAATTAAATAAGAAGTTTCAAGAAGTTCCAGGTTAGTTTATGGTTAGCTTATATTCTTATATTTTTTTGCTTTTGATTAATTCTTATATATATATATTAATTAGGTGGACCAGTAATAAGTTTTAGGAAGTTTTAGATTAGTCTATAGTTAATTTATAAGTAGTTCCTATTGTTGAAGGTAGTTAGTTTTTTTTTTGGTTTTATGGTTTGGGATAATAGGGGCAAGGAAAATATAACAGATTGTCACTCGAAAATACCAAACATTGTGAAATGTTGCACTACAGAAGAAGCAGAACGATTTGGCAAGTCTAAGGTGTGAGTGCAAGGTCTCAATTTATTGCTAATGACAGTTTTTTATTATTAATACGAATGTTGACTATCCTAATTCTCTATTTTTTTCTTCTAAAAAAAGGCACTTATATATAAGAATGGCATTCCACAAAAAGAGATGGCACAGAAGCCCAAGATCCAACATTTTCTTACCAAACTCAATGGTTTCAGATCTGTCATTACGATTGGGACCTTGAATGGCCTCATATGGCACAAACAACTAGCCCAATCTGGCAGATCTTCTCCAACAAATGGCTATAGTACTCAATTATGCATCGTTATGGCATTGTTTTAGATGGGCAGCTTGGCTTCTAAGTTTCTCGAGGTACAATCAATGCAAAATCATTTGCTTGTTTCAGGGGCATTCTTACTATAAGGGTCATGGGTCAGGGCGGCACTGGGTTAGATCAACTCTGATACCCATTTTGCCTGTAACACTATTCTTAAGTCATTTTATTTTTGATCAATTCTTTTATATAAATTAGGTAAACTGAGTGAAAAGTTTTAGAAAATTTCAGGTTAGTCTATAATTAGCTTATATTGCTTATGTTATTATGTCATTTTGATTTAAATTAATCTTATATTAAAAAAAAAAGAAATAGACAGACTGGATATTCTGCTTTTGATTGATTCTTATATTAAAAAAAAAAGTAAATAGGCTAGGCATTTTACTTTTCTTATATTAAAAAAAAAAGTAAGTGAATCAGGCATTTTCTTTGTAATTGATTCTTAAGAAACTAGGTGAATTAGGTAAAAAGTTTCAAAAAATTTCAAATTAGCTTATAATTTTATTATTTTTTTTAATCAATTCTTGTATATATATAAATTAGGTATACTAGCAAAAAATTTTAAAAAGTTTCAGATAGTCTATAATTAGCTCATATTCTTATACTATTTTAATTAGATTGATCTTATAAAAAAAAAAAAAAATTAGGTTAATCAGGTATTTTGTTTTGATCGATTCTTATAATAAAAAAAAAGTAGATTGGCCAGACAATTTGCTTATATCAAAAAAAAAGTAAGCAAACCAGGCATTTTCTGTGATCAATTATTATATCAAAATTAAGAAAGCTGATGAATCTGGTAAGAAGCTTCAAATTAGCCTATGTCATTTTATTTTTGATCAATTCTTATATACATATAAATTAGATAAACTAAGTAAAAAGTTTTAGAAAGTTTTAGATTAGTTTAGTTAGCTTATTTTTATATTATTTGGTTTTTATTTCTTATATATATAAGTAGATAGGCCAACTAAACTTAGTTTCATAATTTAGAAAAAGTTTTTTTTTTTAAAAAAAAAAAAAAATTTAGGTTAGTCTATATTTTAATTTGTTCTTGAAAATATTGATTCTTATTTCAAAATAATAATTATTTTACAAAAAATAACAACAAAGCAGCTTAATATAAGCAATATAAATACTAAAATAATACAAAAAGTTAATTAAAAACTTAACCAAGATTATAAAAATAAATCTTTTTACAATGATTGATGATAACAACAAACAATCATGCAATGGATGTGCCAAAATTCTTCCTATTGAATCATTTATTATTAATAAAAAAACTTACTGAATCTGCAATATATGCTATGCTCAAAATAAACTTTATAAACAAAATACGAATAATGAACAATTATTTGATACCTTAATTGATATTCATGAGCTTATTGATGTCATTTTACAAGAGTTTGATATAGTTAAAAATTCTGTTAACAATAAAGTGCAATCTGATAATAAAGAAAATTAAGATGATGTGACATTTACCTTTTCTTATAGTGTTAATATTAATGAACTGAAAGGTAGTTCAAAAGAATAAGCCAGTCACATTATAGAAATTATATCTGATATAGATAAATATAAGTAGATGTAAGTTTATAGTAAAAAAATTTTTAAATACATTTTTTTTAGTGCATTTTTTTCACTTTGGGTATATACTTTAAAATTTTATATAGATAGTTGTATATTTATAAAACGAAATATGTGCTTAGAAAGTATGTATTTATAGAGTATTTAATGATACTGATAAAGTTTTTTTACTTAATAATATATTAATAATTTTTTATATATTTTAAGATATCATAATTCATATAATTTGAAAAAGTCTGCATCGATAGGTTATTACTATTATTGCTCCCAAAGAGATTGTATAGTTAAGAAACCAAAAAAAAACATTTAGATCATAGCAAGCATTGGGATAAATTATCCATAGATTATTTTTTTTATGATGGATACATTAAGATTACTATTTATTAAGACCTTTTAATATTTAATATAGATATATGACATAAATTGCATTTAACATAACAAGATGTTTCAATTTTATCTAAAATAAAGCAATTTATAAATGACAATATCAACTTACTTCTTCATGAAATTTATAAGCAGCTTATTGAATGTAATTTAAATATTAATATATGACAAAAACAAATTTATTATTGGTAGAATAAGCTTGGTAAATGTTGATATAATTATAATAGTAACTTTTGTTTTAGCTCAAAATGTCTTGAAGAAAAATATTTTGAGATTATATATAAAATAAAACTCCAAAAGCTCTAGGTTTTTAATTGAAATATCGAATATAATACAAAATTTATAATTTAAAATATGTAAAGTTGGAGTTAATTCTACATGTAAATAGATTTTATTAATTTATTAGTATTTAAGCAATTTTAATATAACATTACTTATATATAATTTATTTTTTTATTTGAAATTTAGACAATATAAATAATTTAAAGTTTGAATTATATGTTATGCAAGCTGAAATTAATGAAACCAGTTTCTTGTTAGCATACTTATTTTTAGAAAACAATAACAATTGTGGTAATGGTATTTGAACCAATGTTATTATTAATTTTTTATTGCAATTAAAGATGCATAGACTTGAGCCTGAATTTTTTATAACAGATAAAGACTTTTTGCAAATATTTGTTGCTAAATATGTCTGGAAGGATATTAAAATTTAACTGTGCCTTTGGCACATTAAAAAGGCTGTTGAAAATAGATTGGCAAATAATAAAAAACCTTAAACCATTAACTATAATGGTGTAATAGCACATCAATATTTTTCTTTTATTGATCTACTCTTTTGACCAAATTTGAATAATAATAAAATTCAATTTTGTCCAAAGAAGTTATATTTAATTGTATAGATTTTATAAATAAGTATTTGCATCTTTATCTCCTTATTCCAACAAGTAATGATCAATTTCTTTCTTCAACAATGATTTGGACTATAAGTATACAAGAAATTTATAATTTTTGTTAATAAAATTCTTTGTTATGACTCTGGGTATATATATGGAATGAATAATACTGTCATAAGCATTGGGCTTTGTGGTTTCATAGTGCATATAAAAATAAGTTTTCAATTTTTAAGACTAACATGTTTGTTGAAGCATACTAGAAAGTCTTAAAACAGGATTTTTTGTACAAGTTTTTTTATCCATATTTAGATTTGATTGATTTATCATTATAACACAGATAATACCAAATTAGCAAAAACAATTTAAGCAGATGTTTATTGTTAAATGAGAATATGCTAAGTGGCAAAAAAACATTTAAAAAGGAATGAAAATATCTTGCAGATCAAACTATTAATAATGTATATTTAACAGATATTAATAAATGGATTTGCAACTATTCTGCATTCTTGATAAGTCAATTTCTTATTTGTAAGCATCTTATACAATAAAAGAAAGAAGTAACTGCACAATTTTTTAACCAAGTTCATCATAACCACCAGTATCCCTTTATTGATATTTCATCTGTACAAGTTAGTACTATTGAACAATTTATGACATTAATAAGTAACATTGAACAATCAGAAATAAATTGTCAAAATGCCAATAAAGAAGATTCACAAGTATGTGAAGAATTGTATATCTGATTTATAACAGTAACTGAAAAAATACTGGAAATTCTTAAGAATTAATAGAATAAAAAGAATTTTAAATAGGCAAAAGCAATTAAAAAAAACTTTAATGTGATAGAATAAATAACATCTGAAATTGCTTCTTACAAATGTAGAAAAATGATGTCTCATACATTTAAAGATCATTCACATAATACTTTATTTTTTAATTGATTACTAATAATCTATTCAATTTAAATATTGCTTGTTTTTATATTACTGTATTATGTTTATCTAGCTAAGTTAAATGTTATAATTTTTTATTATTAGCATTTGATATCAATCTTCTTGTTTTTTATTATTATTTGATGTTTTACATATATTCAAATAAATGCATATTGTGCCTCACCATTAATATTAAAAAAAAATTAATAATAATACATTGTACTACATATATCACGTGGAGGTGAAAATTTTAATGGTGATACTGGGGTAAATCTTCGTTTTCGCCATGGCTAGGATACTTGTATAACCAGAGTGACATGTACATGATTGCCTGAACTCGAGTTTTTTATACAATGATAAAGCTTGTTCAAGATAAGTAATTGCCTCGGATTCTGCAGTGCCAAGAGGAGGTGGGTTAAGTTTTAACCCATCCAATTCCGTGATAACTATGAGAATAAGAAAAATTAAATAAATAAAATAAAATAAAATAAAATTTAAGTGTTTTATTATACTAACTAGAGTTCGGATCCTCTATGTGAATCAAATTCGATCCACCAGCGAATAAGATCGGTCCGACTCTTCTACGGAACACTAATATACCAGGAACGGAGTATGAAATACATAGGGTATGGTTTACTTAAGAGTTAAATGGTGTGTGCGATTCTTAGCATATGATTGGGTTATACTTCATCGTGACCTTGTGTAGCACCCCGAACAATACTTTAAAAGGTAGGTACCAGGAACGAATGTCTCTGTACGCAAAGTCTTGGAATTGATTGGTCCGCGTGACTTATTAATGGTTCGGTAAAAAACTTATAAATGAGCATATACATCTGTAAAATCAAAGATGCAAGAACAAACAATAGTAAAAATAAATTTTTTGGCACAAAAATTAATGACCCAATGTAAATTTAAAGTCCTCGATTCTATTTTCATTTTTTTTCATCGAATTTTTTATCGGCAGATAAAATGATAATCACTGATCGTCAAAGACTTAATCGAAAGAATTTGTCGATCCTTTCTAAATACGTAGATATGTTTCGTAGATTTTAATGTTTTTTGCAGGGCCTCAGAATTTTGGGCCAGATTCATCGGAATTGAGTGCTGCTAACTAACCAACTATATAGCAGTCAGACATTGACTTCATTAATAGGTTTTTATGCTCAGTCACTAAAATTCAAACCAATATTCAGATTGCAAGTACTATCAACTTCTTTTATAAAGAGACATTTTCATATACCAGGAATGGATTTCAATGAAGAATATGGTTTCCCGTGACTGAAATGGTGTCTGCATAGATTTCTCCCGTTCCTGGTTTCGCGCGATAACGTTGCACGACTACTTATATGATTTATAGGCGAGTGAAGTGTTGTATCTCTTTTGCATCTGATTGGTTGGTCTATCCTCATGACTTCAATTGACACATAAAATAAAAAAAAACAATTTGTTATCGTGGCTTTTTAATTTGTGTTATGTACATGAAATCGTTCTTGTTTTTACCTGTTTTTGTTTGCCATTCTTGATTTTTGAATTATTTATGTCATATAAATTTTCTATTTTAAAATTTATACATATTAATGTAGACTTTTCGGTGTATCTAATTGAATAATGCTTTCATGGATCTACCTGTATTGTCAATTCAATCCGTGTTTGCTTCGAGACAAAATGCTGCTCCGATACTTGCGTATCGGGCAGCTAATAGTGATAGGCAATGTTACGAAAAAATGATGCAATTTTTAATATTATCCTTTTTCTTGTGTAACTTTATAATAGTTTAGTTATCTTTATTTAGATAATGATCGAACCTATATTATACTTTGACGATCATTACACATTATATAGTTAGAGTCTAATAGCATAATAATTAGAGTATAATAGGTGTTACAAAAGGAGGGGTACTAGTTGTCTTTGTGTATCGAAGTATATTATGGGTTTTGTATTTAATGTTTGCGGCACTGAGTTAAATTTGGTTGGAAGATATAAAAGTTCTCCTTTGTTGTAACATCAAATCACAGTTTTTTAAAAATCCCACGCGGGATCCGCGGAATATAGTAGTTTTTTTTGTAATTCTTCATAAATTATAAACCTATATTGTATAAAGATTATCATTAGAAATATAATTTCTTGTTAAAAAATATATTTTAAATAATCATACATTTAGCACGCCCTTGATTATAATCTGGGTCTGATCCAAGTT